GCTATAAAAAGTTTAAGATGTCTAGTTTAAGATCCTAACAAAAAAAAATAAAAAGTCATCAAGAAAGTACAGTTTTATACTTTTCTTTAGGCTGCCGCTGGGATCCTCGTGAAAGTCATAGATTGAACACCTAAGGCATATAACTCTTTCATCAAACCTTCAATACTTTTCATTCACAACTTAGACCCAAGGGAGCTCCTCTAAACCACACTACTATCAACAAAAATTAACAAAATTCTAAGATTCGGAGACCAAAAGTATAGAAGAACTTCACTTTGAGCTCAAATTTGCATGTTAAAAGTTGGGCCTTTGAAGGAATCCGAAAATGGGGTTTTGAGGGAAGCTCAAGGTTCAACTTTTCTAAAACCAAATCAGGTTTTAACATTAAAACCCACAGAATCCAGCCGCTAAGCGAAGGAAAAACATCAAAGCAAAAATCAAATTTTCGGATTAGACAACAAAAGTGAAAAACCCTACCTTGAATCCTTGCTCAAACCACCTCTTCACTTCAAAGAATTGCTGTAGCCCTTTGTGGAAGATGGATATTGAATCAAGGGAAAAAGAAAAACGCAAAGGGAGAGAGAGAGAGTCGGACATGGAGATGAGAAAGAGAGAGTGGAAGACACATGAATTTCTCCTCATTGCCCCCTTAGCCTCCCAACGTGTCTTAAGGGAGCATGGGCTTAGTGGCTTGGCTGGCGGTCCTCAAAGCCTTACAATGCGGTCCTCAAAGCCTTACAATTTAATCCTTAAATTCTTTTGTCATTTCTCTTACAATTCCTTCATACAAAATTGGGACGTTACATCAACCCTGTATTTATACTACCTTGTTAGCCAATATTAACTGCTTATAAATAGTCACCTTATCCACGTTAAAGCATACCATACTGATGAGTGCGTAATTTATGCGCTCATTCGTTACTCCTTTAGCTAGTTTTGGCGTGTTTTTCCTCAAGTTGTTATGTGGATTTGATGACTTTCCCTTGAGTGTGTAGGAAAGGGTGAAATCGCTGAGTTTTGAGGCATTTTGGATCAAAAAGACAGAGAACGAGGTGATATGGTGCCTTCAGATGGCGGTGCGACTCGAAAAGGAGCAAAATTGAGCAAACCTGTGCGAAGGACCAGAGAGGGATGCGATATGTCACCTCCTTTGTGGAGATATGTCGCCTCATTTAGGCGATATGTCGCCTATTCTAGGGGATATGTCGCCTGATTTACCCGATTTTATTAGAAACACGCGTTTTGCCCTAGTTTGGTGCAAGGACTTTTATGGAAAGTGAAAATTAGCTTCTTGGGGATGTGTTGGACGTGAAATATAAGGAGGAGAGGCCGAAAACTGAAGGGAAGGAAGAAAAAAAGGGTTTCAAAAAGAGAAAAACTGAATCGGAGAGGATTGGAGATTGGAGCAGTTCTTCAAGAATTCCAAGCGTTCTTTCTTCTCTTTCTTCTTGTATTTCTCTAGATTTTGAATATTGTTTTGAGACTGTGAGCCACATGATGTGTGGCTAATTTTCTTATTTGTTAGGGTTTAGATGAATCTCTATTTGTGATTATTGTTTCGACGTTTTAATGTGCATTTAATTAAAACTGTTCATTTCTTTCGTGTTCTATTTTGAATTATTGCTGCAAAATCTATGATTTACATATTGTTATGCTTTATGAGATTTTGAATTGGGCAGATTTTTATTGTGAGGATTAATACTCGAGAGAGGAACGTACAAGCAATCAAGAAACGGATAGAACAACTTAGGTTGGTGTGAGATCGAGAGATAAACATTACCTAGGTAACCGGAACAATTTTAGGTTGTGAAATTGAGAAGTGGAATTCCAGGAATTGTTTTTAGAGTGGAACTTAATGAAGGTAGGGATGAATAGTTGTATAGAGATATAGGCTTGATATCACCTACACATTCTTTATGTGGCACTCGAGAGAGGGTATAAGGATACACATCACTCTAGGTTCTTGAGAACGTTGAGTTAGGTTAGACACATTACCACGGAGAAACATAATCGCAATAGAGTGAAGTCAAGACCCTAGCATTTTCATTATATTGATTTTCCGTTTTTATTTCAGCACGTGTTATTCATTACCGTCATCTTTCCTTTTGATTTAGTTTTCCTTTATTTTAGTTTTTCTTTGAGTTCATCACATCCAAATTTGATCGCTTAGATAAAGTTAAGATATGATAATCACAATAGTTAGTTTACATTCTTAACGTCAATCCTCGTGGGACGATATCGGTCTTCGGACCACTTTATTACTTGTACGACTTGTGCACTTACAAGCATAGTCAAATTATTTGAAACAAGACTACATTAGATAATGATCACAACTTAGATTTGCCAACACCACACCTATAACCCTACAGAAGGACAAGTTTACTCTCATACAATCACTCTCACCATTCTCAAAAATCATGTTCATTACTTAAACTGGGAGTTGGATTTCCTCTCAGTCCATACTCAGATATTATCTTACTCTGTTGTGTAATAACATTCATTATTGCTATATTGTTTTGTTATTCAACCTTTTATGTTTGTGCCCTTTTACTATTTAATTGTTCCCAATCAATGCGAAATGTTGACGTGACATAGTTTGAAAAATGATAGTTTTTAATTTTCATATACAGATCTCGTATTTTAAACAATCAATTTAATAACATTCATTAATTATTGACCCTCAATTGCTACTAATTTTAAATTTTAGAGAGAATATTGTTAAAATTAAAAGTCCACGGTCTATTATGTGAAAGACAAATAGTTTAGCTATGTTTTATAGTGTGGACAAATGAGGCGAGAAAAGTAATCAGGATTTTGGAGAGAAAAATTAAATCTTTGGTTATTTGATACAAAGGAAATGGGTTAGAAAATAAGTAAATCCTCATGGCCCACCATTTTCTAATCCTTCCATATTTGGAAAGAAAAGAGGGAACAAATTTGATAAGTAAGTGGGTTATAAAATAATTATTTTAACCTTAACGCATTCACTATATTTTTGTTTGTACAAGGGTGTTATTATAAAATATATTAGATTTGATATTTTCTTTTCACTTTCTTTTTTTTCTACCAAACAATACAAAAGAAAATCACCCTTCTATTATTTTATTTCTTTCATTTAAGTATTTTACTTACCATTCCTTTCTATTTTCCATCACTTCAACGAAACATAGCATTAGCATGCAACAATGCAATATGCTATTTAAAATATGTTTTAAGTGAATTTTTTATAAACTGCTTTGGCTTAATAATAAATCTTGATTTAGTAATATTTGTTAGTTAATAAGTGATTAATCCAAAACCATCAAGTGATTTACCACGAATATGAAGAAATTATGGTAGAAACTCTCTTTTTATTTCTGGTCGATGCTGCTATTTGAGCTGTAGGATTAATTTTTCAACGATTTAAACTACAGTATAAATGAAAATTTTTAGAATAAACACTCATAAAATAAATTATCACAAAAAATTAATCCAACAGTTAAAATAATTATTTATATTGGTAGCAAAAATAATAGTTCCTACTATAGAAATTCTCTTATTTTATTATATTATATTATATTATTTTTCTTTCATTTTCTTCCAGTGATGCAATATTGCTACAGACGGAAATATCGATACGCTAGATTTGTAGCGAAATTTGGAGAAAATATTGATATTTTGGTGAAAAAAAACCCTTACAAGGTAGATTTCGAAACTTGTACAATAGTTTTAATAAGACATAATAAATTAAAACATTATAAACTTTATTGTATAATTTTTATGGCTCACTAAAACATTTAAAAGAACATTTTGATCCACTTAAACTCTTTTAAAAATAGGGATTATGCCCAAAACACTCTTTGTATTTTGTCAAAATATCTTTTTCACCGCTCTTATTATGCAAATATCCAAAATGCCCATTGAAACAATTTAATTTTTTTAAATAGCAAAATTATCCTTCCCAATCTTTATTAAATACAATTTAAAACATTATTAAATTAAATGGTTGAATAAAATCAATCATAAAAAATGAAAAACTCTCAAAATAATTGAAGCATTTTTTATAGGAACATTTATTTGAGGATTTTTAAATTTTTTTATTTAGCTTTTTAGTTAAATCATATCTAAAATAAGATTTAATACAGATTGAGAAGAGCATGCTTTTTTCTTTCTTTCTTTTTTTTTTATTTTTTAAATAAACGCAATGAGTGTTTTAAACATTTGAATAACAAGAGAACCAAAGTGGTATTTTGACAAAACACATGAAATTTTTTGAGTATTTTTTCTTAAAAACGTGATTACAATCACTTACTAAAAATTCGTTATCTTTTACTTTATCTTCTTCTACTGACCCAAATAACAAGCAAAAACACTGCCTAATGACGCCACATAATCTGCCGCTATAGTCTAAAGAATAATTCTACCGGTGCACTGAATGGCACTGTCTTAATTCTCAGCAAAAATAAGGGGACGAAAAAAAAGAAGAAGAAAAAGTAACAGAATTCTTCGAATCATTAAAAAAGAAAAAAGAAAAATAAAATCAGAACATATGCACGTGTTTACTTTGATACAGGTGAATGCCATTTCTCTCCTCTCCAAAGACCAGTTAAAATGTAAAGACCGAATTAGGTTAGTTATGAATACCAACAATCCATCTCTGAGACTACATCAGTTCCTTTAGAATTTCTCATCCATCATCCAGGTTACTCTTATTCTTTTCCAGATGCCTTTTAAACCTTCTAATCTATATGTTTGAACAGGACAGTTAAGAACACTCTTCCAACACACAACTATATTCATATGTGACTCCTACATTTATCACAACAATGAACTGGCCACTAAATTAGGATGCATAACATTAAAGACAAAAACAACAAAGAGATTGAAGAAAAAAACAAATAAAATCTTCCACACAAATTTAAACACCAGAGCATACATCTATTTTCCATGACAATCCCATCATTTCGCGAAATATAGAGATGAAAATGCCATTTCTACATGATCCTGAATTATATATGTTTCTACATGCCAATGCATCTAAGGGGACCAACCCTCCACGTAACTCCGTTATGCATCTGTATCATCAGAACATAAAAATAGACGCATGAAAATTTGCAAGCACCACGTTTTTACACAAGAAAAGATGAAATAAGAAAGCCACCTCAATGTAAGTTTTGGCCCCTCACTTGCATTGAAACCAGACTCTTCACATATGAAAGACTCCAATATATAATATGGTTCGACCTATCAATGACGATCTCTCTAAACTTCTGGCTTCGGAAATTGTAAGAGAACAAACTGCCCCCTGAATTTCTTATGACAAACAAATTGTTCCGAAAGGATCCTAGTCCCCTCAAGTCCAATAGAGGCTCAAAAGTATAAACTTTGTTCCAAGAACAAGAACCATTAACACTTTCATAGCAGTTGTCCATTGCCCATATTTCGCTGAATATCGAATCATCATCCTCAGCATAGAAAGTATAAATCACAGCAAGAGATTCATTCCACAATCCAAGCATCGGCCTTGATGATGCAGATTGATGATCACCCGGTATCGATATGCTATGAAATACCTCATCGCACATATCAAAAGAAATAATCATGTAATCGGGTGTCTCAACAAGCCAAAAGAAAACTCCATTGATGTATTCAGTAGAAAAGGAAAATAAATCGTCAACTTCAATATTAAAATTGATTTCTCTCCAAGTATCTGTACTCAGACAGTATACCTCAGCTTGTAACTTCTAAGAATAGTCAAACCCAAATTTAACAAACTTGTAGTCATTAGCTCTTGAATCGTAGCCGAATCCCACTGCTAGGCTTGACATACCAAGAGCACCAGCAAAATTTGATTTTGGCAGACGCTTGGATTCCTTAATTGCTGGATTGAATAGAGTGATGGTATCATAAGCCATAACACAATCATATAGGCAAAAGATGCCATTACAGTGATATATCCTATTCAAACCTATGCCAACATATTCCTCCGGAATAAGGACCGAAAATAAATCTTTGGAGACAAAATCAATAGGGTCATCAACATTGTCATCACTTGATACATTTAGCAACTTTAACTCTGGTTTGCAGGGTGGTGTTGTCCCGACAGAGCGTAAAACTATGTATGTAGAGGACATGCGATTTCGGAGATGCTTAGCCGCGAATGTCGGGTCTTTGATGAGAGCATTGATAAAGACATACCATGTCTTCGAGAGGCACTTCAATCGTATTAGAAGCTCAGGAGGCAGCAAGGTCATGATCTCCACCAATATTTCCTTTGGCAGATTGGAAGAAAGCTCCGCCATTTCTGCTTCCAAACTATTTTTTTTTAAATATATATATAAAAAAAAAAAAGAATGTATTCAAGGAAACTAAATGTGCCAACTTAGTTAAAGAAGGAAAAAAAAGAAGCAAAAAAGTTTATTTCATCCCTCCAAAGTAAACAAACATGAACCGTTGAATTAAAAACCCCACTTGTATTGTTTCTATAATAAGATATACAGATGGGAAAACTGTGATCCGTTATTTATCTAAAGTGATGGATTCTCCCAACATAAACCCTAATTTCTTCGAATTCAAAAACCCATCTGGGCATTTGTACTCTTGAAGAAACCCTCTCTCTCTCTCTCTCTCTCTCTCTCTCTCTCTCTCTCTCTCTCTCCCAAAAGCTCACACTGCTCACACTGGAATATAAGCTCACACTGCTCACACTGGAATATTTAGAAGCAAATTGACCCTTATGAGAAAAAAAATAAAAATAAAAATAAAAACGAATACTCTCTGCTTTCCCAAAAGCTCACACTGGAATATTTAGAAGTGAATTGACCCTTATGAGGAAAAAAATAAAAAATAAAAATAAAAATGAATAGTTTAGGTTTAAAAAATTGTGTAAATTGTAAGTTTCGTTTATTTTACCGATTCGAATTTAGAATTTGAATTTTGTTAAAGTAAAAAACTTAGAAATAATTATATTAAATTTTTTTACTATAATAAAAAACTCTCATATAAAATCATATCTTAAATCAAATTAAAAATCTAAATGAGCAAACTAAACGGATAAATAACTCACATTTTTCCCTTAAACTTCTAATACTAACAGGATGAGAAGGAAGCTACCATTTCAAAGAGAACATTAACAAAATTTGGCAATGAAGAACATACCTGCAAGGAAATCGGTGGCCTTTGGTTGAGGAGAAGGCAATGAAGAAGAAACCCCTCTCTCTCTCTCTCTCTGAAGTTTCTCTCTCTCTCTCTCTGAAGAAGAAACCCCCCCTCTCTCTCTCTGACGAATAGTTTAGGGTATTAATGGAGATTGTGGAGCAAGAGGGGTTCCAACCAATGTGGAATAAGATAATTGTGTTGGCATGTGTGATTGCAGTGTCACTGGACCCTTTGTTCTTGTACATTCCAACTATCGATCAGGAGCACAAGTGCTTTGAGTTGGACAAGAAGTTGAGGGTTTTGGCTCTAGTTTGGAGATTTATTTTTGACCTAATTTACGTTATGGATATCGTCTATAACATTGCCAAAGCTTACAAGGTGGAAAAAAGACGAGAGCCGCCAAATTCGGAAATTAAGAAAATAGGTATTCATTTGGTTAAGAGTGGCAGGATTTCTTGGAATCTGATCGTCGTAGACCTTCTTTCCATTCTTCCCATTCCACAGGTATCTACTATATGAGCTTTAAGATAAAAATAATCAACAAAAATAAAAAAGAGAGCAGGAAAGTAGAGAAAGAAAAGATAAAGAGGAAGACTGTAGTCTTTTTCTTTCTCTCACCACGAAAAAAATAAAGGGTTTCAAATTTTCTTTTAGAAAAGTAAATTCCACTAACATTTTAGAAAAGGACCCCTTTTTTTAGTGTTTTTTTTTTTTTTTTTGACACCGGGAAGCAGCAGAGCAGAAGACTACATGGGCATTTTTTGTGTTTTTACGTTTTTCTTGAAGTGATTTTTGTACTCCCAAGCAATTGGAAGTTAATCGCTTTTCGAAGAAAAAAATAAATCTATTTTCCAACACCCATTTTTTCTAAAACATATTTGTCTTTTTTTTTTTCTTCAATATTTTTGTTTATTAAATATGCAAAGTTGAGTTCAAACTTGAAGTATTCTTAGACTCCGTTTATTTCACCGATTTGAGTTTTGTTACAGTAAAAAACTTTCAGAAACAGTCACATTTAATTTTTTTGCTACAATAAAAAGCTCTCACATAAAATTAGCTGTAATTGAAGTCTGACAGCTGATGCATTATCAAATATGATACTTAGAGTCTACTAGACTTGGGGACCATCTACCAAAGAGACCTCTCAGATGGACTCAGCAACCCAAAACAAGCTAGAAGACCACTCAGACTCAATATCAAATTAAGCCAACAACAACAAATAGAGCCAATCAACTGCGACTAATGGTGCATAAGCGGGTGGGTTGATAGTTGCGGGTCGAGTCATGCATTATCTCCGAAACATGCTCTAGAGCCACCTAACTATCTCTTTGTCCTCTATTATTGTTTCTCTCAAGCTTTTATCAAGTTTTTTGTACTATTTTCTCTATACATAGTGAAAAACCAAAAACTATAGTGGACGTAACCCTCTGACTACAGGTGAACCATTATAAAATTCAAGCATTTCTCTTTATTTTTCACACTTTACTTTATCACTTATCTGCCAGATTGACCTTATGCAAATGGATCAAACATTAACACTCAATGAATTAGTTATTACCCTTAAAACAAATAAACTATTTGAAATCACCCTCCACAAGTTCCAAAAACAATAGAAGGTTTCTTATCTCTCTAATTCATGATTGCTCATCTGTGTTGTTCGTAATTGACAACTTTTCTTATTTTATAATTAATATTTTTTGAAATAGGTAAGTTGTATTCTAAATTAAAAAAATACATGCACCAATACTGACCTCGTTATACAAGGACATTTAACACTCAATGAACTAGTCATTACCCTTAATACAAATTGACATTTGAAAATCACCCTCCACAAGTTCCAAATAGAAGGTTCCTAATCTCTCTAATTCATGATTGCTCATCTGTGTCGTTCGTAATTAGCTACTTTCCTTATTTTATAATTAATATTTTTTGAAATAGGTAAGTTGTATTCTAAATTAAAAAAATACACGCACCAATACTAGAGGTGTCAAATGGGCCGGACCGTCCATGGATGGCCCGGCCCATCCCGTAATAGTGTCAGATTTGGCACGGCCCGGTTCACTACTGTTACGAGCCGTGCTAGCACGGCACGTGTAATGGGTTAGGGTTGGGCTTTAGCTTATCAGCCTGCGGCCCAAGCACGGCCCAAGCACGTGGAGGCCCGCGGCACGGCCCTTGTTCGGCCTAGCCCAAGCCCTGATTCGGCCCTTGTTTAACTCTGCCCAAGCCCGCGAAACGGCCCATCAAACGGCCCATTTCATTTGGTCCAGGGGCCCAAACGGGAGGCACGTGATGGGCCTCCCATTTGGCCCGTCACATGCCTCCCGTTTTGCCCACGAAGGGCCCAACGGCTAAAAAGCCTAAAATCCAGAAATTCACCCCAAAATCCCCTATAAATACCCCTTAATTCCACCATAAATCTCACACAAGAATTCTCTCAACTTCTCATCTCACTCTCATTCTATCTCTCAACTTGTCTCTTTGATTTTGATTCTAAGCTTTTCTCTCGAGTTCATTCATTTTCTAGCTCTTTCATTTACAAAGTTCAATCAATTTTCAGAAATGGCCGCTCCAAACTTCCCTGGTTTCATTGCTCTTCCTGAGCTTGGTGATGAGCCATTTTATGAGGATGAAATTATGCCTCCCACCCTAACCCCCACCCCCACTGAACCAGAAAATACTCCGGTGGATAATGCTTCAGTACACAACGAGGAAGCTGGAGAATGCAGTAGAGGAAAAAGACCGCAAACTTCTCCGGCATGGCAGCATTTCACCGAGGAGCCCCGACCAAATACAAAAACATGTGAGATAGAAATTCATGCGGTATGTAAATATTGTAAAAAGCACTTTTCTAATAAAAATGGTGGGGGTACTGGTCATCTGGATAGACATTGGAAAGTATGTTTACCGTTGCACCAAGGTGGGAGTGCGGACTCCTGCCAACAAACACTATCACTCACATCACAGGGGTTACAAAATTTTACATACGATGCATAACGTGCTCGTGAGACACTAGCTAAATTTCTAGCTAGTGCCAAATTGCCTCTTTCTTTTGCAGATGATGCCTCGTTCAAAGAATTCATCCAGACAGCCTTTTACCCACAATTTAAACGGGTAAGTAGAAACACAACTCGTTCTGATTGCATGAAAATTTTTTATGCAATGAGACAATCTCTTGTTGATAATTTTAGGACTTTTAATGCTACTGTCTCTTGCACTTTTGATCTGTGGGAGGGGTGCAATAAAACTGGATATTTATGTGTCATAGTGCACTACGTTGATGACGATTGGGCTTTACAAAAAAGAATAATTAGTTTTCATTTATGTCCATACCCTCATAACGCAACAGCTATTTTTAATACAATAATGGAAATTTTTGAGTTTTATGGGATAGAAGATAAAATTTTAACAATTACTTTTGATAATGTGTCAGCTAATACAGCTACAATTAATCTGTTCAAACGTAGTTTGAAACCAGCATTTGGAGGGTAAATTTTTCATCAACGGTGTGCATGTCACATAATTAAGTTAGTAGTTCAGGCAAGAATTGAACATATCTCAGCTAATCTTACAAATATTGGAGAATCATTATCATTCATATCTAGTTCTAGAGCTCGGCTCTAAGAATTCAAACAATATTGCAAGAACAGCCAGATGCGCCCAGGAAAGTTTCCAACTGACGTGAGACATAGGTGGAATTCAACATATTTAATGTTGAAAGCAGCACTCCCATATTCACAGCTTATCATGACATACATAAATAGTAAGAACGATCAAATTTTTATTTTCGATCCTGATTGGCAGATTACTGAGTATTTTTTTAAATTTCTAGAAGTTTTTTACAATGCTACTGAATTACTTTCTAGAGTTTATTATCATACTACACATTTAGCTTTACATCAACTATTTAATATTTCAGAAACATTTTCTTATTATAGGGATACATAACTTTTTAGAAATATAGTTAACTTAATGGAAAATAAATTTAAAAGTTATTGGTCAGGTTGTCCCATGTTATATGCATTGGTAACCATATTAGATCCTAGGTGCGAAGTAGATGGAACTGAATCATTGATGACTACTACTGCAGAGAATTTAGAAATAGATATGCAACTAAGTATTATTGACGCTAAGAAAATGTTAGAAAAAGTTTTTAGTTTGTATGAAGCAAAATATAGCACAGGTCAAAAAGAACAGGGAACTTCGTCATCAACTACCAGTTCGGGGCCTAAAGGATCGTCGTGGAGTTTCTTGAAGAAGAAATAGAAAATGGCAGGATCGTCCTCAACACAAGCGTCTACGGAACTAGTCAAATATTTTGAAGCAAATTTTGTAATCGATGATGACAAACTAGACAGCTTACAGTGGTGGAAGAGCAAGACCGATCGTTTTCCAACACTGTCCATAATAGCTCGTGACATTCTTACAACTCCAGTGTCAACGATAACATCGGAGCAAGCTTTTAGCGCAAGCAACCGAATTATTGACGAGAAGAGAAGCATAATGCATCCAGATATCTTGGAGGGACTAATGTGCGTTAAAGACTGGGAAGATGCCAGAAGATGAAAACAACAATACATAGATGATTCGATGCAAGAATATTTTTCTAACTTAGAAATACCAGAATCTTCTAAAAGCACTTAGGTTTGTAATTTACTATTCTTAGCTACTGCACTCTTTTTTCCTTCACTAAGGTTTTGTCCCGATCTCTCCACGGGTTTTACTTAGCAAGGTTTTTAACGAGACAGTCATTTATGTGTACTCCTATTACGTCAATTCAATAAAATCAATCTTTTGGGGCATATGATATATATTTTTAATTAAATTTAAAAAAAACATACAAGGGCCGGGGCCGGCCCGTGAAGGACGTGGGCCCAGGCCCGGCCCTGGCCCTTATGGACTAAGGCCAAGGGCCTGGACCGGGCCTGAGTTTTTCTTCTCAGGCCCGGCCCAGGCACGGCCCTGCACTGTGCAGGGTCGTGCCAGGCACAGCCCAAGCTCGTAATGGGCCTGGGGTCAAGCGTGCCGTGCCGGCCCGGCACGGCACGTTTGACATCTCTAACCAATACTGACCTTGGTATACAATAACCCTTAACCCTAAGATGCAACTTGTTCCTGTAGTATAATCTAATTACGCACAAAGGGCAACAAAATATACGCCTAGTGTCCTCAACGCGGAAAATACATAGACAAACTAAATATCAAGCACTCAACTTGCTCTTTGGCACAAGTTAAGCAACAAAAATCTCACTAGGTGAAAGATTAGGTTAGTCCTATCTAAATAATTTCGTGAAAGCAACATGTTCCTCTCCGTCTGTCCCCTATCACCATCAGGAGAAAAGAGAGAAAAGTGGTGAGGATAGAGAGACAGCTAGAGCAAGAGAGAAACAAGGAGAGATCTACCACATAAATTTTCCATTTACCTAGTAATCATTTTTTTTTTTACTGATATTTACTTCAATTATTTTTAAAACCAACAATTTACTTTAATTACTTTCTCTAAATATGCTATATACTTCATACTCCCTAGGTAAAATTGATTGATGTTAATTAACCAATAGATTCCTAAAATGTTGAAGTGGAGTATTATAACAATCTTTCCTCTTATGCGTATTTTTTTCTATTATTTTTTTTTTTTGGAGTAAATAAGAATATTGCTGTCCTAAACAAATCTTGATTAATTAGGAAGAATTATATATTTCCCTCGTCCAGCTAGGATTTCATTTCAAGACCATGAATCAAACTAAAATTATGACTGCTAGTTCAGGCTTTGTAATATTCGTTTTAATTATTTTGTACTTTATATTATCTATTTATGTCTTTTCCTATTTTCGTTCTTTAAATAGACAATAGACAATGCCTATAATTGATTTTAATTCAATCATTAAAATTTAAGTTAAGCCATTATACGAATTTTTAATTCGTTTGGGTTCCTTCATTTAAAATAATGGGTACGATTAAAAGTAAAAGCTAATACCATAATTAAAAACTTACTAAACATTGTATGTAGAACTTGGAAATCAGATAATCTCAGGGGCAAATTATATTTAGCTCAACAGAAAATAAATAAGAATAACAATTATACAACTAACCAAGAGGAAAAAAAGTACGAAGTTATGTATCTATTGTTCATGGATCGGCTAGCTAGTTATAACAAATATGACGAATAACATCTGGAAATCTTGAAACAAAAATTAATAATCTAATAAAAGGCCCAAGCATTCTTCCTGCGGATCTCTTCCTCTTGCTCAGGCGAAAAATCATTCTTAATTCGAAAGATTTCACGAATCTGCTCGGCCTTATTTCCCTTGATCATGTCAGCCACCTTCTGAGTCAAGAGCTCCACCAACTCAGTCCCGTTGAGATAATCTGCCGCCATCAAGAGACGGTAGAGAACGGCTTGGTCCATGTCCTTCACGAGCTCGGCGTCCCAAGCCTTGAGCTCGTCGCTCGTCGCCGTCCCGTCAGCGTGCTTCTTGCACCACTCCAGCATCGTGGCCATGGTTCTGTTGTCCACCAGAGGGACGGTTATTGCGCTGTCGGCGCAGCCGTCCTCCACCATGTTCTTGAAGAACCCGAGCTTAGTCGCTGCTCCCTCGTCGACATGGAAGGTCTCGCCGTCTGAGGTCTTTAGGGTTAGAATTCTTGAAGAGGAGGAAGATGACATGGTTGTGTGTTCACTTGAAGGGAAGATTTTTTTTGTGGCTATATGCTGATGAAACTTGAAAGTAGTTTGGAGGGTTTTGGTAGTGGAATGGAAAGAATTATAGGTGTGTATATATAGGCGTATAAGATTGAGGGGCCATATAATCATAGTTCTTCTTAGACTCGGATTCAAGTGGATATTCTGAATCCTTCTCAAACTAGGATTCACGATCATGTCAAGTGGATAAGAGTTATATTAAAACGACAACATATAATAAGATACACGTCTCTATAATTAGGAAGATCATGCATAAAAAAGATGAAATTATAAAAACAAAAAAAAAAAAAAAACAGTTTTAAGTCATTACAAAGAATTCAAAAAAAAAAAAAAAAGAATAAAAAAAGAGTTGAGCAAAAGTATGTATCCTTGTCTAGTATGGAAACCAGTGATTCTTCTAATCAATGTTGAATAACAAAAAAAGAAATCGAAAAATAATAGATGTCTAACTTAATGCTAGACATCTTTTCACAGACCCGAATTACCCTTTCCCATATTATTCTAATTTTACTTTTGATACAGCAGTTTTTAATAAAATTGCTTATTATTAAATAATCGATCAATAAAATTACTTTTTAAGACAAAATAATATTTAAAAATAATCAGCGCACATGCACAACGCCTCATAAAAAAAAAAAGGAAAGAATGCCGGACAGCAAAATAGTTTTACGTAGTATTTAAAATATCCAACAAATTACTAAAGTCAAAAGAAAATAAACATAAATCCCCTCAGAAGAAGATCAAAAACATAAATCAGTAATTAAAATAAACGACTTCGAGTACTCAACAGGTAATCAATAAACCAAGAAATTATTAGTATCTTTGATAAATGGAGACCATCGTCATCCATTTCTCTGAAAACCTTTTCATCTCTGCCAATCAAAAAGAAAAAATAAAATGGATGAAGATGGTCTCCAAATTACGTATATTGGTTATTTATCATAATGTCCATGCATGTTATACTGATTACTTCGAAAGCGCGGTTCGCTTTGCACATAAACAAGCACATTATAATTTTTTTTTTTTTTTGTCTCTATGATTGTTCCTACACTAAATATTCACCATGTTATTTAAATTTGTGAATCTGATCACATAAATAAGAATAAAATACTAAAAATATATAAATAAATCATGACGTGTCAAAATTTAATTAGAGAGACAACTATTGAGACGAGAAAATAGGAAAACCTATCTTGATTCGTAAAATGCAATGTGTTAATTACTTCTTCCTTTTCTTTTCTTTTTTGCTTTTTCTTTCTTTCTTTCAAATTTTTTTTTTGTTTTTTCCTTTTCTTTTCTTTTACTGCTTTTTCTTTCTTTCTTTCTTTCTGTTTGTTTTTTTTTTTTTTTACTTTTTATATTTATTTTATTTTGCTTTACTTGTTTTCCCTATATTTATCTACTACTCTCTCTCACCCTTAAAATCGTTTGATTTTTTTTTTCCATGACTCCATTGTTTTTGTGTCCACTTTTTGTTTCTCTTATTTTGCTTCACTTTTTTCCCACCATTTATCTGCTTCTCTCTCTTGACCTTAAAATCGCTTGGTTTTTATTTTTTCCATTGTAACTCCATTGTTTTCGTGATTCATCGCACCAATTTAATGCTCTTTTTTTTTGTAACCTTCTTACTTTCTTTTTTTTATACTATTTTTCTAACCTTTTTACTCTTTTTTTTTATTTTTTCTCTATTTATCTATTATAGTCTCTTACCATTAAAACCGCTCGAATAATTTCTTTTTAACTCTACCGTTTTTGTCTTTTACCTTTTCTTGTCTACTATTGTAATTAACAAATAATACTCTAGCCTTTTTTCGTTGATTTACCTTTTTGTCCCTTTCTTTCTTTAAGGTTTCAGTAGTCTCTCACCGTCAATATTCTCTTACTTTTTTCCCTTTTTTTTTCTCCATCATTTTGTCTCTAGTTGAACTTTATCGTTTTCTCTCTTTCTCTTTTATAGATTTTTTAAACCTTAATCTCTAATTTCTCACTCATATGATCTCTTTAATTTTGATTAATTATTATTTAAACTATCGTTAGTTTCTTCCATTCTTGTCATGATCAAATAAACTAATAAATTGTATATTTTATAAATCTCATGATATTTAGACCTTTAAAAGTATGCTGGTCAAAATAAAATATATGTACATCTTCTTAAGCTATTTAAATAACTCTTTTCTTTTGAAGTCTCTAACTAAAACTTTTTCTTGTATTTGTTTTTTCTATTCACGTTCTACGTTCTTTATAATTTATATTATAAAAAACTTCAATTACAATTTAATATGTGCATTGCGCTTACCTCAATTAGATAACTATCCTAAATCTTAAATTCTATCTTAATCCTAAATACTATCCTATTGTATAGAAGAGTGGACATGTGACTTCTGCTAATGAAGTTGTCCGAACGGTGAGTTATACATACTTTATTTTTTTCTCTCTTTTAAATTTCAATTATTTTAGTTTTTTATTTTTGTTATATGTAGCTATTGGTCTTTTCATGATAGTTTAAAATTGTGATTTTTTTTTTTTTGGCGTTTTTACATTTTGCCACTTCACTAAAAAATAAACAATTATAATTCAATTAATAAAGATAAAATAAAAGGTTACAATGACACTAAATTATTTAAAATGACAAAATTATTGAGAAAGATACATGTGTGTTATCTCACACAAAAAAGTATATAAAAATGTAAAATGATTAATGTACATGAAAGAACTCAAGACCTAATAAGTTATCATTTTAAGTTAAATTAAGCTCATAAAGTTTGTTAAGCTAGTTTCAGATGTTGAGTCTTTCCAACAAAAATAAACATGTTTTTTTCTCTCTTATCACACAAATATTATAACAAATCATGAACCATAATTCAAATTATGGTATGAATCTATCTACCAAACGTCTCCTAAACCTCTTAATTCTACCCTTTTAAAACTCTATCCCTTTCATTTTTATGAAATATTATCATCAAATTGAAAAGAGTATAATAGCCACAATTATATCCCAACCCTAATTTCCCATCTAATTCTTTCTCTCGCTCCGCCCCTCTCTCTCTGCCCTCCGCCGGAATCAGTTCCCTTTCTCGCTTCTCGACCAACCCTTTCTTTCGCAATGGAGATCGACGATTCTGAATCGCGACGCTGCAATCTTAGATCGCGATGCAACGATTTCACAACGCGATGGCACGATCTCAGTCTCTTGATGAAGCTCCGCACGACCTTGTTGGTGATGCTGCCCGCGAATGACGATGGAGCTCGGGGACCTTGACAGCGAGGGCGACGCTTGCGATTTCTCAATCATCGGCGTCACGAGTTCGGCCGATATGGATCTGGTTTGGAGATCACCCTTTAGGCTCGATCGGATGATGCTCGCCTCCTCCGATTTGGTGCTGCGATCGTCTTCTTTCAGATCGGATAGAACCAGCCTTCGCTTCTAGCTTGGCCAGTTCTAATGTTTGCGTTGTCAGTATTTTTTTTCAAATCTGATCTATATATATATATATATATATGTATATATATATGTATGTTTGTGTGTCTTAATAACAAATATAAACTGACGACTCACAAGCAATGATCGCTACTGCATTTATTTTATGATGTTCGATTTCTATCATGAATTGCTGAAATTCGACACATTTAAGAAATTGATAACGTTATTTTTGTTTTTAAGCTTGTGTATTTATATCTAATTGCTTCTTCATTTAATCTGGTTTGTATTATCTCTTTATAATACGTAAATGTTAATAAATGACCTGTACATATTTATTTTTGTATGGGAAGTTCTGTTTTTTTTTTCTTTTTATTTTTTTTGTGTATTTGGTATTCTTCGTCAGAGCTGTGAAATTGAACGTTGTATTAATACTTCAAGGAAACTGCATTATCTTTTCTCAAGAGGATAATTTGTTTGCTGGCCTAATGCAATCAAGATACTTTGGGCATGTTCTTTTGTCTAAAAAACTCAAAAAAAAAACAACTCCAGTTTTAATTTTATTTAAGTTCACGTTCTTTTAAGTTTCAATTTTATTCAACTTTACTCAACTTTATTCAAGTTACAACTTCAACTTAAGTTATAACGTAAATTCAACTCAAAAATTATACTCAAATTACACTCCAAAATAACAACCCCTTTGTAATCCAAAGTCAATGTTTTTTATTATTAATGGGTCTTGCTTTGTGAGGATCATTTTCCCTTTACAATGGGCTATGGTAGTGTAATAAATCTGGTCACTCTTGGTAAAGCGGTAAATTTTTATCTTCCATGTTTTGCAAAACCACTAATGCGTCTCATTTTTTTTAAAGGTTTTTATACTGTGCAATTGGAATTTACTATCTTTGGGACCCGAGAATCAGAAATTGACTTTATAGATAGATCTCAGGTAGTATATAAAGGAAAATTTTATGGGTTGTTTTTTTTAACAAAACTCAGAAAAAGTTTAAACTCAAGTTACAATTTTATTCAAGTTCACGTTCTTTTAAGTTCTAACTTTATTTAACTTTACTCAACTTTATTCAAGTTGCAACTTCAACTCAAGTTATAACTCAAATTCAACTCAAAAATTACACTCTAAAAGAACAAATCCTTAGTGTTCTAATAGTAATGGTCTATTAATTTCTGAATTTTTTATAGGACCAAATTTATGGGATTAATATTCACTACATTGTAATAACTTTTAGTTATAACGTTTTTGAAAAACTGCTATTAAAATTTATTTTGCTTGAATTTTACAGCGTTTCAAAAAAGTTATTTTCAGTATATATATATATATATATATATATATATCAATATAATAAAAAATCATGAAATATTTTGGCGGTAATGTTTTATGTATATATATATATATATTATAATTTAATTTGGTGAAAATGGCTTCCCCCCTAAATTCATATTATCGCTTCTGCTTCCGCCTGAAAATTGCAACAAATTTCAATCTCTGTTTGGTTTTCTCCTGTAGCTTCCCGAGGAGCCATTTTCC